TGAGTTGAGCGCAGCGTTCCATCCTCAGACAGACGGTCAGTCCGATCGGACTATTCAGATTTTGGAGGATATGCTCCGAGCTTGTGTTATCGACTTTGGAGGTTCGTGGGATCAGTTTTTGCCTTTAGCAGAGTTCGCCTACAACAACAGCTACCGGTCCAGCATTCATATGGCTCCGTATGAGGCGTTGTATGGTAGGCGATGTCGGTCTCCAGTTGGATGGTATGAGCCGGGAGAGGCTCGGTTATTGGGTACAGATTTAGTTCAGGAGGCCTTGGACAAGGTCAAGACCATTTAGGACAGGCTTCGTTCGGCTTAGTCGCGGCAAAAGAGTTATGCAGATCGTAAGGTACGGGATGTAACTTTCATGGTTGTTGAGCGGGTATTGCTTCGAGTGTCGCCTATGAAGGGCGCGATGAGATTTGGGAAGAAGGGCAAGCTTAACCCTAGGTTCATTGGTCCATTTGAGATTCTCGACCGTGTGGGAGAGGTGGCTTATAGGCTTGCCTTGCCGCCTAGCTTGTTAGCCGTGCATCCAGTTTTTCACGTGTCCATGCTTTGGAGGTATCACGGCGATCCAGCCCACCTGTTAGATTTCAGCACTGTCCAGTTGGACAAGAATCTGTCTTATGAGGAGGAGTCGGTGGCTATTCTAGACCGGCAGGTTCGACAGTTGAGATCGAAGAGTTTTCTTTCAGTACGAGTTCAGTGGAGAGGTCAGCCTCCTGAGGCATCGACCTGGGAGTCCGAGTCTGATATGCGGAGCCGTTATCCTCATCTATTTCCCGACTCAGGTACTTCTTTCTTTTGTCCGTTCGAGGACGAACGGTTGTTTTAGAGGTGGAGAATGTGACAACCCAAAGGGTCATCACCTAGTTTCTCACTCATTCTATGCCTCCGAGGCCTTGAAATCCTCATTTAGGCTTGCCTCGATTTGCATGCGCAGTCCAGGCGCGTAGCCGGAAAGCTTAAATAGAAATTCTGTGTAAAAATTGATGAATTTTGATATTAATATGAATAAAGTTGACTTTGGTCAACATTATGGGTAAACGGACCCAGACCCGTGATTGGATGGTCCCGGAGGGTCCGTAGAAAAATAAGAGACTCGGGCATATGCCCGGAGTCAAATTCCGAGGTTGAGAGCCCGAGAAATGAATTTTTCTGTGAAATTGTTTTTCAGAAATTAATATGGAAATTGGAAAAGGAAATTGATTAGAACATGTTGGTATCGGGCCCGTATTTTGGTTCTGGCGCCCGGTACAGGTCTTATATGTGGTTTAAGCGCTTTCTGTGAAATTTGGTTGAAATCGGACGTCATTTGACGTGTTTCGGACCTAAATATCAAAAAATGAAAGTTTATGAAGTTTGATGAAAAAGTGATAATTTTGAGGTTTGATTCCTCGTTTTTGATGTTATTTTGGCGATTTGATCGCACGCTGAAGTTCGTAGGATGTTGTCGAGTTAGTGTGTGTGTTTGGTTAGGAGGCTCGGGAGTGTTTCAGAGGTGTTCCGGGAAGTTTTAGAACTTAGAAAAAGTTGCAGAAATTCTGCAATAGGTGCCCAGGCATTTCCTTCTTTGCATTCGCGCTCTCTCTCTCGTGTTCGCGATGCCTTAGATTCTCCTCCTTCATGTTCGCGTAACTGTACTCGCGTTCGCGTAAGTCTATGGTCCCCCTTCAGCGCGTTCGCGTAAGGCCTCATGCGTTCGCGTAGGCCAAACTTTGGACCCCAGAATTTTTCCTCTTCGCGTTCTCACTTCTCCACTCGCGAACGCGATGGTTGTCAATTTCTGCCCTTCGCGAACGCGACCCTACTGTCGCGAACGCGTAGGGTAATTTCACCCAACGATTTTTAAGTCATAAAAACAGAACATTGTCGGGTTTTATTCAAAAAATACACGAACCCTTTCTTCTCCAAAGCTTCTAGGCAATTGTTAGGGCATTTCTTCATCAAAGCTTCTTGGGTAAGTATTGTTTAACTTGTCTCCTTCATTTTCCATCATCATTTATCAAATTCCTAAGCTCAAATCATGTAATCTAGGGTTGAAATTGGGGAAAATGGGTAGAGTTAGGGCTTTTCAATTTTCTTTGATTTAGACCTCGTTTTGGGGTCGAATTTGAAAACAAATTGTATATCCGGGCTCGTGGGGGAATGGGTAATATGAATTTGGTCCGAACCTCGTGTTTTGACCAAGCGGGCCCAGGGTCAATTTTTTTGGAATTTTGGGAAGAAGGCTTAGAAAACTATATTTAGGCATTGGGTTTGATTTGTTTAGCTTATATTAATGTTGTAAAGTCGTTATTTCATAGATTTGATTGAGCTGGAGCCGAATTCGAGAGGGAAAGCGGTCGTTGTGGATTGATTTAGCCGTGGAAGTTGAGGTACGTGTTTGGTCTAACTTTGGCTTGAGGGAATACGAGTAGAGTCTTATTTGCTAATTGCTATTTGTCGAGTACGGTGTATAGGCATGGTGACGAGTATCTATACACTGGTGTCGAGCATGACCGTGAGTCCTGAATTGCTATATTATCGAATTCTTAATTGTTGTTTATGAAGACTTGGTTGGAAATCTTTAACACTGAGCCAGTAATTGATGAGACTGAGTATTGATTTAATTGTGTTAAGTAGAAATTGAGTAAGTTTGGTTATAGCTGGATCTCCCTTGCCGGGATAGTTTATTATAACATCTTTCTCCCTTGTCGGGATTATTTTGTGTATTGTATTGAAAGAAATGATATCGTGTGGCACGCCGACCACGAGATATTATGAAATGGGATCGTGTGACACGCTGACCACGTGATACTATGAAATGGGAGCGAGTGGTACGCCTACCATGTGATATTATGAAATGGGAGCGAGTGGTACGCCTACCACGTGATATTATGAAATGGGAGCGAGTGGTACGCCTACCACGTGATATTATGAAATGGGATCGAGTGGTACGCCTACCACGTGATATTATGAAAAATGGGATCGAGTTGCACGCCTGCAACAAGAGGAAATTGAAACAAGTGAAAGTGGTTTGTTTCCCCTTATTCTGTGTTAGAAGAAATCAGATGTAGTTTCTTTTGTTATTCCTGATATTCCATTTTATCTGCTAGCCCATAAGCATGTTCCCCTCCCAGTTTTAATTGTTTACTCTCCGCTATTATTTTGTTGTACTTGTATATATATCTGCACAGGTTTATCTGGTAGTCTGGTCTAGCCTCGTCACTACTTCGCCGGGGTTAGGCCAGGCACTTACCAGCACATGGGGTCGGTTGTGCTGATGCTACACTCTGTGCATCTTTTTGCACAGATCCAGGTGTTGGAGCAACATTTGAGTAGCAGTAGCATTCTGGGAGCGAGCCTTCAGTCCGGAGATTTCCGAGGTAGCTTGCTGGCGTCCGCAGGCCCGGAGTCCCTTTCTATTTTACTCAGTTTGTTATCATTGTACCGAAACAGACAGTCTTATGTTTCATTCAAACCTTGTATTTAGTATTCTGTAGAAGTTCGTGAGTATTGTGACACCAGTCTTGGGTAGAGGATTAGTTAAATTTCCGCATTTCTTTCAGTTAACTATATTTGAGACTTTCGTTTTATTATTAAATGTTTCATTATTTCTAATATTGTCGTGTTTCGTTAAAGGAGGTAATTGATAATTGTCTTGCCTAGCTCCTATTAGTAGGCGCCATCACGACTCCCGAGGGTGGGAAATCCGGGTCGTGACAAAAAGAAATTCTGATTATGATACACCACCAGAAAATGTTGGCGACAACTATGATAGTGAAAATGAAACTTGCTGTCCGAAGGAGCTGTAGTTTAGTTGTAAAGAAAGTTAGCTGTGGTTGACTTTTTGTATAAAGTTGCTGTAAAGAATCCATATGAATTCTGAAATATCTTGTAAATTCCTCAAAAGGCACTTATATTTTGTTTGCATAGCATAATTTTTTGTCACAACTATGCAAAGTTACAATTTCAGAAGTAATATAAAGGCATCATGTTATTAATTTCTTTGTTTCTGTCAAGTATTGATTTGTCCATTGAGCTTGTAAGTATTAGTTCAGGACCAAGTGTAATTGAACTTCAAATTCAAAGTTAAGGACCAAGTGTCCTTAACTTTTGAACTTGAAACTGAAACTTCAGGACCAAGTGTCCTTAACTTTTTAACTTGAAACTCAAACTTCAAGACCAAGTGTCCTTAACTTTTGAAGTTGAAAGTTTAAGTTCAGGAATATGTGTCCTCAACTTTTGAAATTGAATCCTTAACTTTTGAACTTGGAACTCAAACTTCAGGACCAAGTGTCCTTATTTTTTGTACTTGGAACTGTAAGTTAAGGACCAAGTGTCCTTAACTTCTCAACTTGTAAGTTAAAGTTAAGGACTGACTGTCCTTAACTTTTGAACTTGAAACTCAAAGTTAAGGACTGACAGTCCTTAACTTTTGAACTTTGAACTCAAAGTTAAGGACTGCCTGTCCTTAACTTTTGAACATGTAAGTCAAAGTTAAGGACTGTCTGTCCTTAACTTTTGAACCTGTAAGTCAAACTTAAGGACTGCCTGTCCTTAACTTTTGAACATGTAAGTCAAAATAAGGACTGCCTGTCCTTAACTTTTGAACCTGTAAGTCAAAGTTAAGGACCGTCTATCCTTAACTTTTGAACTTTGAACTCAATGATAAGGACTGTTTGTCTTTAACTTTTGAACTTGTAAGTCAAAGTTAAAGTCAGACAGTCCTTAAATTTTGAACTTTGAACTCAAAGTTAAGGACTGCCTGCCCTTAACTTTTGAACATGTAAGTCAAACTTAAGGACTGCCTGTCCTTAACTTTTGAACCTGTAAGTCAAACTTAAGGACTATTTGTCCTTAACTTTTGAACTTTGAACTCAAAAGAAACAAAAAGAACGTAAGCAGAAAGAAATTTTGAAAATTCAGACATCTGCTCAAACAAGAATAATCTGAATGAATCCAATTTATAGCAAAAACTTAAAATAGTAGATAAACATAAGTGGATATATCTACTATTCTCTATGCTTTCTTGAAAATGGATGGACTGCCGGAGAATATATACAAGTTGTTCTATTATGACCAATTCTTCTGCAACGACCACATTTGAATGTTATTTTTGATGACTCGGTAGCTGGAATATGCCTTTTCTTCTGCCTTCTACTTGGTGGCACTTTTAAATCTGGAGGTTTAACAATTTGTGACTTAACACTCTCTGGTACAATCCAAGAATCAGTATGCTCTACAGGATGTATTTGTTTTTCATATGTTTTCAGCCAAGATTCCTTTAAGTACCAGTGCGACCAAAAGTTGGACTTCTTGATGTTTCTCTTCTCGATAGCTGCAATTGCATGTATGCATGGTAATTCATCAAATTGAAACTGTAAAAAATCACATGTTCTTTTGTTTAAGTCCACCAAGAAAGTTATTCCTTCTTCTTTAACTCTAGAATGCCATGAATCAACAAGGAAGACCTTCAAAGTTGAAAAATTACAAGTTAGTACATTATATTAAATTATATTAAAATAGTAACCTAAACATAGAACATAATACTTACATTCAAAGTAAATGCTAAATCTATTTTCTTCAATTCCTCCTCTACCCAACAAGAAACATCATAAAAGTTCCTTCTGCTTCATTTCTTCTTTCATAAAACCAACGTTGTAGCTTCACTTGAATGAAATCCATCATTCTTAAGATAGGCAGCTCCCTTGCTTCTAATAGGACATAATTCATTGACTCAACTATGTTCGTTGTGAGCATATCATATCTTCCTCGTGGACTACAAGAACGTGCCCATCTTTCTTATGGTTCTTCCATCAAGTAGTCATAAATCTTCTTATATACTTTTGCTATATCTGACATGTAAAGATCAAATTCTTTGCGCTTGTATACTCTTGCAGCAGTTTGAAAAAGTTTTATGACCTCACTTTTCACTTTCCTTCGCTTTAGGTTCTAATCCAAATGATAGATACAAATCCCATGGTGGCTTTCAGGATATACCTTTGCGATGGCATATGCAATAGCTTGATACCTGTTTGATAAAAAAATTAAATTCTCACGGCTCCCAATTGCATTGCGAAGCTGTCACGACCCAAAATCCACTAAGGAACGTGATGGTGCCGGACACCACTGTCAGGCAAGCCAACCGTAAATACTTAATTAAATTCTCGTTTTAAATATTTCTGAAATCTCTTCTTTATACGTTTAAACTATACAAGGTAAATTCCACTGAATAAGAAATGAAACATTTAACAACCTTTAAAATTCTAAATACACCCATAGACATCCCCAGAACCTGGTGTCTCAAGTGCATGAGCTATTTCTAAGAAACAATACAATACCACATCCGTCCGGAATACAAATTGGACAGAAAGTAAATACAATACACTGAAAGAGACTATACTAGCTGCGGGTCGCCTCGAGTAGTGCAGCTCACCTTGTCCCCGTATCATCCGTGCTGCTACGCCCAGTAGGCCACTAGAAGTACATGTGCCTGTGCAACAAAAATGCACAACAAGTGTAGCATGCGTATGAAAACAACGTGTACTCAGTAAGTATCCCGTCTAATCTTGAAGAAGTAGAGACGAGAGGTCGACTTCGACACTTACTAGTGGTCCAATAATGATATTATTAAAGAGATGACTCACGGTCTTATTAAGGACAACAGTAGATTCAATGAATTACCAAACAGATAAAAGTTCCTTTTTATTAAAATTCTCTAGATTCATAATCCATCAATTAACAATTATCTTATGTCAGGGATAGCAGATAGCAATATCAATAAACCTCAAGACAAGCAATTCAAACATGCGCAACTCATGCCAAGGTCGTACAACCCGATCCAACATAAATGTAAAATGTGCACTGCCGAGGGTCGAGCGGCACAAACCATAGATGCATCTATTACCCTGCTCGCGAATCACACATGCGACGCGGTCAAATATAAATAAACAATCACCCTGCTCGTGTACCATACATGCGACGCAGGTACACATAGAAATACATGCTCAAACAGCAAATTAAGAGTTTATCGGGGAATATTTATCCAAATAAAAGCCAATCCTCTTTTAGTAATTTAAGAAAAATGAAGTTTAATCCACTTAGAAATTTCATTTACCAATTCCATAAGATTTAAGAAATTCAACTGTCAACAAGATCACAGATATTCAAAGTATAACATGCTTTTGGGTCCTAGACTACCCGGACTTACACATATTAGTAGCTACGCACGGATTCTCATCACCTCGTGCGTACGTAGCCCCCCACAAATAGGAGCGCATAATCAATTAACTCACCTATGGGGACAATTCCCTCTTACAAGGTTAGAAAGGGGACTCACCTCGCTCCGAAGATCCATAACCGGCGTTCCATGCCCTTCTAAAGACTCGAATCGATGCTAAATTCTCCAAAGCTAGCCAATAATTACGAAAATCCATTAATATATGCTCAATTAATCATTACAAATCCAATTTATAACAATTCCTAACCCCGACGAAAAGTTGACAAAAACACCCTCGGGCCCACGTGCCCGGATTCCAAAATTTTTTCGGAGATAAATTTTACCCATGAACTCACGAACTCAAATATACGGTTTTCTCTTAATTCCATACCCAAAATCGTGGTCAAATTCCAAGAATATCAAATTTCTAGGTTTTCCCTCAAACCCCCAAATTTCTACCAATTTACATGCTAAAAATCCATACATGATCGACGTATTTAACTTAAGATAGGTGGGATTAGCTTACCTCGCCGTTGATGATGAAAAATCCCACTTGAAGCTCTCTAAAATCGTCCACACCCAATGAAATATGGGGGAAAATGACCAAACCCCCGATTTTAAAAGAACCATTCTGCCTCCAGCACTTCCGCACTTGCGGTCTCTTGACCGCTTCTGCGGTTCCGCAGGTGCGGCACTCCTACCATTTCTGCGGTTATCTCACCAGCCCTTCATTTCTGCTTCTGCGACCTCTCTACCGCAGATGTGGTCCCGCATCTGCGGCAAAACGACCGCATCTGCGGTCCCAGCTCTCTTTACGTCTAACCGCTTCTGCGGCTCAATTCCGTGTGTCTGCGGGGCCGCTTCTGCGGTGAATCCTCCGCAGAAGCGGTTATACCAGCAACCACACCCCTTCAGCTATCTCCAAAATCCCAATTTCGATCCGTTAACCACCCGGAATCCACCCGAGACCCTCGGGACCCCAGCCAATCATACCAACCAGTCCCAAAACACATTACGGACTTGCTCGAGGCCTCAAATCATATCGAACAACGCTAAAATCATGAATCGACCTCCAATCCAAGCTTTATGAACTTTAGAATCTCAAACTTCTACTTTCGATGTTTAAACCTATCAAATCACGTCCGATTGACTTCATATTTTGCAGACAAGTCATATTCGACATTACGGACCTACTCTAACTTTCGGAATCAGATTCCGACCCCGATATCAAAAGTCCACTTCCGGTCAAACTTCTCAGAAACCTTCAAATTTCTATCTTTAGCCAAATGACTCCAAACTGACCCTCGGACCTCCGAATTCACTTCCGATCGCGCTTCCAACTCCAGAATCACCATACGGAGCTACTCCCAGACTCGGAATCCCAAACGGACATCGATAACACTAAAATTCTCTTCAACCCAACTTATGAAATTTTTTCCAAAATGCTAATGCGCCAAAACGCTCCCGGGTCATCCAAAACCCGACCCGAACATACGCCCGGCTCCAAAATCATCATACGAACCTGCTGGAACCTTCGAATCCTGATTCCGAGGTCATTTACTCAATAATACGATCTTAGCTAATTCTTTCAACATTAAGATTCTGAAATGAGGATTTTCTTTCCAAATCAACTTTGAACTTCCCAAAGTCCAATTCCGACCACAGGTGCAAGTTATAATACCTGAAATGAAGCTGATCATGGCTTCAAACTGCTGAACGCGACGCTAGAGATCAAAACGACCGGTCGGGTCGTTTCATTCTCTCCCACTTAAAAATACGTTCGTCCTCGAACGTGCTAAGAACTGTGCTGGGGGTTGTCCGAAATCACATTTTAACACCTCGAGCACCTACCCGTGCTACTACGACTCAGCTGGGCACCCTAGCCCGATCAATTTGAAGATATCCTTTTCCACTTAAGCAAATAAGCCTTAGAGCCCAATTCGAACATCTGGAATTCTCTGCCAGGCCTGTTCCAACATACGCTCACCGTATCAATAACTACACGCAACACCAAAACATGACTGCATACCTTAGCTGAATTCAGTACTTGGACCACTTTACTCACAGGGCCACAATAACATTCTCTGATCAAATTAATCGAAATTCCACGAATCTGATGCTCTCATTGCACCTCACGACCTACATAGGTCTTGATATAATTTTTACAATACCGCCACGACGGAAGAGATGTGTAGAAATTCATAACCACTATCGAATCAACAATTCATTGGGTCTATACTCCTGACAGGAACCATCAACTCATTCTGAACCAAATAATGGTCTTTGCTTCTTAATATACTTCATATAATCAGATTGCAATGATCCTAAATCCAATGATCCCGTCTCACCCAGTACGAACTGCTCAGGCAATAAGCCACCCCGGGCATGATCAAAGTCTTATATGATGCCACAATGTGCCGATAGGCTACCAATTTGAACGCGATACAAAAGGAAAATGTACTCTGAAAAGGAAATCCAATTACCCCGCTCGCGAATCGTACATGCGACGCGGTCAACGTAACTAAACAGACACCCCGCTCGCGAATCTTACATGCGACGCGAGTACACAACTAATATGAGCTTTCCTCAGAAAAATAGGAAATAAAACACATAAAAACAGATATAGGAATCTGCACTCAGGATCACATTATTGTGGCACGCAACCCGATTCAAATAACATACCCATGGCGGCGTGCCACCCGATCCACCTATATAGTTCACACAAGGAGATACACACCGAGCTAGATTGCTCATTACAACAAAATACCGAATGTCGGCCACAAGCACGCTAAGTGCATAATACCATCCCTGGGGAGACATATAGTGCCATAAGCTACAAACTCAAGCACAACTGAGGTGCGATATACAATCTGAATCTCAAGAGCCATTTTGCTCATATAACATCATCTCTACGCGGAACCTCAACACATAAGCAATTTCCCAAGCCGTCTCACAACTCACACTGCACAATGTATCATTACATGAAATATCTGAAAACGAAATAACACCCTGGCTACTCCTCCATAAGGAGCGCATTACTGAAATGAACACGTTCGACCTGATTTAGAGCCCATATTCACATTTGAATCCATCCACAGACCTCAAGCTGATTCTGATCGCACTGAACTAGGCTAATAACCTTTCAAAGGTCCATAATAACTCTCCTTTCTTTCATAACGCATAATAACAACCATCATAACCGGAGTAATCCTCCACAGTCCACAACTTAATAAATCGAGTGCCCTCCAGGCATCAATTCCCAAATCAACGATATCACCACAATCTTCATACCTGGTTTAATTCTCCAACCAATCAAGTGACTACATGCCACACTTATACAACATTCCCGTGGGGCACGCTCCCACAACCTCCCGTAATAGATAACAGGTCTGTACATCCAAACCACCGGCCGCACTAACGCGGAAAGCGATCAAGAATCCTTAACCAGGATGCAAAGTCAAAACACCGATCTCAGGTGACGCTGAAGGCAATACCAACTTACTTTAAACCTCGAAACTACTTTCCTGCTCATCCGAGCTCGTGACATCCTTGTTAACACTGAACTGCAACTTGATCCTTACTTCGAATTCCATACCACTCACTACACCCAACACCAATATACGATAGAACACGATTTTCATCATAGCTCTAGAACCACTAATAGATTAACACTTCATCATATAAAAACTTTTCGTTTGACTCACTTCAGAAGGACCATAGCAACACACAGGTGAATTCTCATAACCGTAGAATACGCCAAATCTCTAAGTAGTGGTCTTAAGCCACCATAGCCCTTCTGGGATCCGCCTACACATGACAAGCCATAACAGTAGAATACTTCTGAATAACATCAATTACAGCGGCCGACAGGCCTCGCACGTATCGCCATAAATCACTTGCATAATTTGTTGAAGAAACTAATTACTACCACCAATATGCTAATTCAACTATGGCTAACCAGTATATCTCCTTCTAATTTATCCTTGATTGACTTAGAAATAATAACTCCATTCAACACGTAGCACACTCCATCCGCACTCATACCGAGTGACCGTGAATCACGAGACCATGCTGTCTCAAATCCCACAAACCATTTCATACCTCCCTTGTGCGCACATTCGCATCCTCAACTGGTATGCCCATTCTGATAATTCCACTACGGATCCAAAGTCTTTTCTCATTTTCCTCCCCAAATGCTACACTGCAAGTCAAAACATCATAGAACGTTCTGGGCCTCTTCTCATAAGCTGCTACAAAAGCTTGATTCTTAACCGCACCTATAGGCTCGAAATCATTGGGCACCATGCTTTACCCCTTTGAATTCACTAGGACCGTTGTTGAGAGTCACCCACTCTGGCTTGGTCCCGAATATAATCAACTCCCAGGCCCCGCTTGCACAGGAACACCAATCTCAATGAAGCACTCGATTGGATCACTTTCCTTGTAAGTCACCTCTGTACGAAGCATAAATCCAGAATCCTCCCAAAGCTTGGACATGAGCCAATAAGGTCAACCGTGGCACACCCTTAACAATTTCTTTTCTCAAATTATCACTTATGCTATTCTCCCATAGCTAAAATAACTTACCAATACGTCGATAACCGAAACCTCACAAGAAGATCACCATACAACCCAATCAAAGGCGGTGGGACTCTCCCACTTAGCTTGAAGACACTATTACGCAACTCTGAAATTCACCAGGATTCCTTATCTCTCATTGGCATAACCATGCGCAATCGGCCGCAAAATTTTTTGGAATCTTTCTGTAAAGCCCCTTTTTATACTCTGAATCATCAACCACATTCGCACGACCGATCTCTTTGCGGAACCAGTCCATTCATTCCTCGTGGACACCAATTAAATATGCGGCAACCTCTTACCAATTCAAAGTTAGGTAGTATCCTTCCTCGTTCCAAGCAGCTCCTTTCCGTTATATCCAACCTCTTACCGCATAATAGTCCGCACTTCAAATTAATCCGTAGGCCCTAGCCACCAATCACTAAAAATCCCAATTCACTCCAAACTCTCCTTAAGGTGCGTAGTCATCTTATCACCAGACCCATATGCAACTCCGCCACTCTCCCACCTTGGCAAAACTCACCCCTTTAGTCAGCTACTCGATCTTTGCTTCTTATACCTGGCCTTCTAGAAATTTTTAACCATCGCTTGACACTTCCCACATGTCCTTCCTCATCCTCTGCTGCTCAGTTGTTGCCTTAATAAGATCTATCTTCGTAGCACTTGAACCCACAAATCGTTACTAACTTCAAACCTTTCCGGGGATCATCTTTCTCGAGGCGTCGACATCAGAAACACCGACTCAATCCTGAACCACCGCACCCCGCAATCTCTGACCGTCGCTTCTTCATTACTAACTTGCAATATCCTGCTCCAAAGGCGAATTGTAGACGATCATAACACCGGCGAACTTAGTACATTCAATAAGGACAACGACACTTTATCATAGAAGAAGACTCCACCACGCTCGCAATTACCAAGTCTCGTTACTCCATCAACCCAAACCGGAACATTCTCAGCCCGATTGCCTTTCCCCTGCCGGGAATAAAATACCGAATCTCTAGATCACGCACTGAGTAAACCTCCCTTCAAGTCATTCACTGCCCCGACACGTAGGCAAACACCCTACCATCGTATCAATATTGCAGAACAATCGTTCATAAGCATCATGGCAACTTGTGCCTAG